TTACAGATTACAAATTATTTTATTGGTCACAGATAAAAAAATTACAAATCATAGGATCATGTATGTTCAAATTTATTGATCACATATTCTAAATAATCAAATTGTTGGTCATATACACCAAACGCCCCACCCCTGATCTAAATCCACCACTGATACTTGGCCACAAATCAACCAAATAGTTGGCCATAAATGCTATGTCACCCTACCCCTGCCACAACACCACCACAACCATCACCAACAAAAAAATAACCACCACCACACAATTGTCACTTGCATCTATAACCGGCTCCTGCACATCAGATCGACTCCAAAACTATCCCCAAATCTGAAACGACGACTACAGCAATGACCACCACCCACCACCACTGCATCCAACCACACCACCACCTCTTACACTATCACAACTATCACCATTTGCAACCGCCGCCTACAAAAACCTTTGACCTGCGAGATCAACGTGAAAACCATCCCCCAAAAATCTGAAGCAACGACCACAACAAAGACCACCACCCAACACCACTGCATCCAACCATATCACTATCTCACATCATCGATATGAAAGAGTCCCTAACCCTAACCCCAGCACCATCATCTCACCACCATGACCACCACAACATCAACACCAATACCAAATTGTAGCGACATCATCAAACAACTGCAGCAACATTGCCCCAAAAATCCAACCATTACCTACGGCAACTACTAGACCTACAAACAACTGCACAGTTTGTCGCAATGGTGCTCAAATCCAGGCACCGGCACAGTGTGCGTTTCAGAGTATCGTCGAGGCAAATAGAGTAGATAAATCGTCAATTGATCATCGTTGGTTTAGAGCGTCGACACTGATGAAGAATGAAACCGGACGGGCGACGGCGATGGCGATGAAGATGAAGCGAAATGGATAGAGACTAGAGAGAAAAAAGGGTTGGGAGAGAAAGGGTAGAGAGAGAGAAGGGGGACGAAATGATTTAGGGTTTTTATATATTGGGTAAGTACCTGATTTTTGCATTGTCATCTTGAAATGCCTAAATTTTTGTAATTTTCCTTGAAATTAAGGGCAGTCTAATGGGCTTAAACTTGGACTAGTAGTCAAGAAACCAACTCTAAACTTTCCCAAAGTGGATTTCCCATGCATGCATCATATGAATGATATGCTATCTAAAATAGCAAAATAATCTCAATAATGATCTCAACCTAGGCCTTTCTCGAATTGAAATTTTTTAATAAAAAAAATATTTTTCAGAGATTGGGACTTGTGCTGGAATGACCATCTGGATCCCTTTTTAGGAGGGAAGTTCGCTTATGGCAACTAGATCTACTACCAATAAATGAATGAAATTAACTGCTTATCATAGAATAGAAAGAGAGAACAAGTTGGTTTGAGAACCCGTTGGTCAAATGAAAGGGAAGTCTTGATTTTAGGAGTTGTATGAAGTAAGATTGTCACGTATAGTTCCATTGAGAAGGGTGAGATACCACCAACTACTCACCTGGTTCATGCACTCACCCTCTTGAGAAGGTTGGTCGCTTATCCTAGATCTTCCAAATTTCTAAATGTGTTGTTAAACGATATTGGTGGATCTCAGATTTACAAATTTAATTGGTCTTATTAATTTAATCTACACTGTCTACCACATCATATGAGGATGATCCCACTAGAGATAATAGTATTGACCTATGAATCTAAGTAGAATTTCTTTTAAATTTAAACTTACAAGTATGGCAATAGGTTGAGCAAGGTATGTTCGTCTTGCACAACTCCCAGCTCAATTTGTAGGCCAGAGAGCCGAGCACCAAGCAGCTCGTTGAGCTTGAAAAGGGGGCCCGGACCTTGCCAATGGGCTAGCTTGTAATAGGTCTAACTCAACGAGTTGTGAAACGTGAATTAATTTGTTTTATGCTTCAAACTTGAATTTATTTTGTTTATATATTTATGAAAAAAAATTAAATATGCTTTGAAAATCAATTGAAAAATATACACTTTTCCATGTTTATTTTTTTTAAAACACATTTTTATCATATTTTTTTTTCTTATTTAAAATTAAAATACTCAATCTGGCTTGATGAAGCTTGTGAGCTAACTCACCTTGAGAGGCTGAGCTCAAGCTCGAGCTTGGACTTTGAGAGGGGGGGGGAGGGGGGTTCATTTTAATCCTAGCTCGAGCCACTTATGTTTCATACTTAATTTCTAGAGGAAATTATACAAAACCCTAGTATAAAAATCCTCAATTCTAAAATCAAGGGGGAACTTTCACTTTTCAAAAATCAAATTTTTTATCCCAATTAATTTTTTTTTAAATAATTTTTTTTACTAAATATATATACATTCCAATACACAAACCCTAATTAATTCTCATTCATTCTCTCTCTCTCTCTCTCTCTCTCTCTCTCTCTCTCCCCTACAACAATCCAGTTGTCTCCCTCCATTGTGTGGTGACGTGTTGTGGTGGTGGCTAGCGGTTTCGAATCCGACGGTGCTGGATCTGGCGGTGAGGTGCGACGGTGGGTTGCAGCTCAAAGTAGTGTTTGTGTGGTGGTGTTGATGGTGGTGAAGCAGATCTACGACCTGCGTAGGCAAAGTTGTTATGTGTAGCGGTGATGATGGTATTTGTGTGGTAGCGGTGTTGTGGTGGTTGCTGATAGTGTCGGATCTGGTGGTTGATGTTGCCTTTAGGGTTGTGGATTGCAGTGCGAAGTGGTGTTTTGTAGGGTGGTCTTGATGGTGTGTTCGTTGTGTGGTGGCGAATCTAGCAATTGTGATGATGGTGGTGAATCTAGTGGTGTGGTAGGGTGGTGGCACAGTTGGTTGATGGAGGGTGTGGTGCAGTAGTTGTGGTGGTTTTGTTTGTTAAGAGTGTGGTGGTGACGGTGAGATGTTGGTGGACGTGGTCTGTCGAGATGGATCCGTTGATTTTGTTTGAGATAGTGATATTGTTGTCACGTGGTGACGATGAGATGTTGGTGGACGTGGTATGTCGAGATGGATGCGTTGATTTTGTTGAGATGGTGGCGGTGTTCTGGCAATGGCAGTTGCAGTGGAGGTGGCGTGGTGCTATTGGAGGTAGTGGTTGTTTGGTGGTGATCACAGATTAACTGATTGGTTGTGACCATTAAATTGATTAATCTGTGATCAATAAACACTATGTAACCAATAAAAATGATAGATTGTCATCAAAAAATAATGTGTGGCCTAAAAAATTAATAATTTGTGATTGTTCAATAAGTTGTGACCCATAATATATGTGATCTCTGACCTATAAATAAATTATAACGTATAAATTTTTTTCTGTGACCGATAAACAAATTGTAACCTACAAAATATTGGAATTGTGATCGTAAAATAATTTGTGATGTTAAAAAATTCTAGTTTGTGAACGAAAAATAATACTCGACTAATTAAATTGTAAATCTATGACCAAATTGTATAAATATGTGACTTTAATATATTTAATTAATTAATTAAATTATAAATAAATTTTAATAAATATCTGATTTTGAAAATTTACAGCTTTTATTCTTACTTTTAAAATGGGCAATAGTTATTCTCTTACTTATGAAATTTTCCCTAATTTCTATATATTAGAAAGTGATTTCGTGTCACCAAATATTTATGAAGCTAATATGTTGTTTAAACTTTGCGTCTAGTGATATAATGCAGACTTTATTCAGCCTCCGTGTAGTGATATAATGTAGAGTTTATTCAGCCTCTTATATGTTATATTTGAAGACACGAAAAGAGTGTACACAATTTTATTTTTCTTTATTGGGATTTGAGGAAGGTGAGAGAAGTCGATTTGGAGGAAAATAAAGAAATCATTGTCTCCGCAACTTCATATTGCACGTGAAGAATTTCACACATTTAAACCAGTGATAATTTTTACACTGTGCTTGTTTGATGAGAGATGCTCCCTGTCCCGGGTTGGAAACAGGGTTAAAAATAGGAGTGTCATGGGCCGACACCCCTCCAATAGGGGGGCGCATGGCGCCACTGTTTTTAATCATGTCCCCAATCCGGGACATGGATATTTATTCTTGTTGGATAGGAATTTTGTTAATTGATTTTTTGATCATTAAAGATAAAGTGAATCCTATCTATGAGAGAAGAATTAAAAAATAACGACTGAAACAATAAAATAAAGATTAGAAAATTGATTTTAATTGGATTAAAATCTCTATCAAACATGCTTTATGTATATTGACAGCACATGAATAGCCACGCAACGAGCAAGATGGTTTTAAAAAATGAATTTTTGAAAAAATGAAGGTCAAACGTAGGGATAAATTTGATCTTTGGGATTTTGATATATATTTTATTTATTATCAGAAGGTTCCATGTGAGGATTTGACTACTGTTGTAAAACACGAGGATTTGAATGTTTAAAAAGTATGTCAATATTTATATTTAATTACTTAGATTTTCAAGAAAAACAGATCTGGAAATTTATTAATTAATAAAATCCAATTTCTTTCATATATACGTTTTAATTATGAATTAGCAAAAAATATTTTTCTTATAATAAAATACCATCTCAATCTAATTATTTACGATCTTACTTTTGAATTTTATTTTTTTATATTATTTAACGGCAATATTCTTGACATATTGTGTGAAATATCGAACAATTTGGTGAAAATCTCATGCTTTCAACTCTAATCACTAATAATGCAAATATTATAATGAATAATCTGAATTTAATTAATTTATTAAGTTTATTTTTATCTCCCAAATCAAGGGGAGGTGGTCATTCAAGGTGTTCCAAAATTTAAGGGTTTGTTCAATAGTGATTATGAGAATTGATTTTCTGATTGTTAAAGAAAAACGTGGATTGAACATGTGAGAGAAGAAGTAAATGACGATTGGATTAATAAAATAACAATCAAAAAATTAATTTTTTGAGGTAAAAAATAATACCCAACATGCCTTAAATTCAACTGTCCCTGATGACAATTGGGTCCCACCCTAGCAAGCAATAATGGACTACTGTCTTCTACGTAGACAATTTTCTTTCAACGCAAATAAACCATGTAATTCTACAAATCAGAAATGGTAAAAATGGTTTAATCGTCATTTGTTTACATTTTCAGAATAAACCCTCTCATTTTTTCCATCAAAAGTCCAAGATTTGTGCAATTCTCACAAATGAGAGGCAACGAAAGTTTACAGTCTTGCTTACTTCGGCACGATACCAAACGCCATCCAAAAGCTTATGTTGTTCTAAAATTGCGTACAATTATTTATTAAAATTTGGCCTCCAAGGGTACCTAGATACCATCTTTAATATCTGAACTAGAAACGATTCACAAACTTTTAATTTATAGTTACATCCCTGTAGAAAGCACTGATTTCTTCTTCAGTAAGACCACCCTCATCTGCATCTTCTTCCCAGCCCATGGAGCGCAAAAAGGCAGCCTCCTCCTCTGAAATTATAGGAGCAGAACTTTGATGTTTCTTTCCATTACTGATATATTTCTGCCCTTCACAAGCACCACCATTGCAAGTGAGGTCACCATTCTTGTCAGACAAATGGCCCTCACTCAGGCTTACACATGATGGCCTATAACCAGCATTAAGAATACTTGTAGCAGTGACCTCTAATTCACCAAACTTATCTGTAGCAGGTGGTGACAGAGAAGTACCATGATCTGAAACAGACACGGAGTTTGCCATAGATTGATCAGGAATTGAAGAGGAATTGGCCATGGATTTCTTCCTCATAAGTTTGAAAAAATCATTTCGACTTTGAGCTTGAGGAGTGGTTCGCTTCTCCAGCACAGTCAATACGGGCTTGTGTGCAGCACTATGAATGAATGAGTTGTTTGGTGGGCCCATAACGGGAGCAGCTGCAGAAGCTGATGGAGCCATCCAAAGGGAGGAATTTACTAATTTGCTACCGCTTGTTGGGCTCAGGTTATCCTTTGCAGCAGAAAAGACAACATTCCTCTCTCGCACTGGCTTCAGAACATGGAGCTTTCCCACATTACTTGTCTTTGAAACATCAGACTTCACAAGCCCACCACGAGGAGAATGACTAGCAGAAAGTGAAGGCAAAATTGGATGCTGCAGCTGACCCCCCATAGTTTTTTGTTTATCTGAAGAAGTCAAGACCTGAGGGAAAAGTTCAACATGATTAATCATATCTTCAAATTTATCAAAAACAAAATAGCACATGATAATAAGTAGACCATTCATATTATGCAGAATGGCCCCAAAAGCACATAAAGCATAAGCTCTCTCACGTCTGCCCTTGTAGATTTCTCAAAAAATATAGCTTTCTACACTTATTTCAATGGGTCAAAAAATCAATTTCTGATAGCAATTGATAATTAGTTTCATGAGAAAAGAAGAGATAACAACAGTCCAAGGCCTGGATATTCAATAGCTACTTTGAAGAGACGTAACTTTTAGGAATTAACGCAAACAAAAAAAAAGTCAGATACATGAACATTAGAGTTCTTAAAAGTAGAATGGAATTGACATCATTAAAGTGCGATGGAGACAGTTGCAAGCCTAAAATAAAGATTCGGCTATGCAAAATATTGGATTGTGTTAAGTTGAGATGAAGTTCCATAAAAGTTAATAAATATTCCATATGCATATAATACACCGTAGTTTGGATTTAGCTAAATAATCATCATTTTCAGCCTTCAACACTAAAGATTTTGAGGAAAATTAATATTTAAGACACGACTACTCTTCACCAAGCTAGTTGCTCCCTATTGTCCCACTGGCTTCGTCGTTGCTCTCAAATTCTCCTTTGCTGTCATCAAAAGTAATCCAAACTCTCCCACCCACAAAAGACTTAAGAATGTCATATCCTATTTGATTCCGTTGAATTCAATATTCAAAGTAACAATCAGATTTATTTATTAGAAGAATCGATCAATGCAGTACATATGCGCCCAAAGGTACTGTATTTGGTTTTGAGTCAGATTTCGTATCAATCCACATTGTTCACATGCGAGATCTGGGCCCTTATTTTTCTAACCATTCAAGAAAAGGATCAGTCTCTTAATAAAGAGTAGGAGTTAGAACCAATAAAGATTTCTTTTTGCACTTTGTTATTGTCACCAATCCAGTGATCTCACTCTCCCACTCATTCTCAGGTCACCAGCTCCTCTTTTCTCACAGATTTCAAGCAAAATTTGTTCCTCCCTCTACTCAACCTCCCCACGCCCCCAAAAAATTACGTGGTGGGGGGAGAACTAAGATATGACAAGAAATATCGGTCACACATATTTTACCAACTCTCAGAACTTCTCTCTTTCTTTTCGAAAATGACAAGTGCAAGAACCAACGCCTACATCTTTGCTGAGCGACTGGTACATCTTATAGTTCTTCCAGTTCTATTATTCACAACCCAAAACTAATGTAATTGAGAAATGATATAACACAGAATAACAACCTTTACATGGTTGCTGTTTGCCTTCATTAGAAGTTAATATAATTAACATCAAGAAAAAAATTCCCTAATCATGTGGACCTTCAGTTTCCTGAAAGTATTCCGCCGTAATGATATCAAATTCTGCATATTAAAAATGAGAAATCAATCATGATAACAATCCTAAAAGTTAACGAAATCATAAATTACTTTTCCTCTGTATATGAATTAAAAGCGATTTGGCAATCAAAACCGATCAAAGTAGTTGTCAGCGGAAATCTACATTTAAAGCAAGATCATTATTTAAAAGGTGTAAGTTTTAAAATGAAAGGGAATAAAGCGAGAGAAATAATTAAGGCAAGTATATTCCTTAAATAAATAACAAATACTTAAGCAGAGCGAGGGGAGAGAGGAGAGCGGGGAGGAGAGATAGAGACAAGACAAAAGACAACCTTCTAAACAAAAATAAGAAAAATCCACCTTGATTAAGTGTGAAGATAACAATGTTCAAATTCTAGACATTAGTCCTGCAGTCAAAATTTATTCCTACTTCTCAATTATAGAAATCACTTGTTTTACCATCTCATCCTCATCAAAATAGTATTTCCATTGGCTGACTTTCACCAATCGAAACGACAAAAAGCACCCATAATACACCTACACAAAAAATGAAAACAGTGAAGAAAATGAATGAAGAAAAAACCCTTGTACCACACACCTTGACACAAGAACCCTATTTTCTGTTTCTCTATCTAGAAGATCCTTTCTCTAGAAACAGAAAATGCATGGATAAGAAGAAAAAGATTAATAGGGATAGATTCCTCTTTGCTTATGCCTTTCTTGAAGCAATTAGGCAATATCAATATTGACTATTGAGTAACGATTTCAAGAACAAGTGATTGTAGTATACTAATCTGGTTAACTAATGCAAAAGCTAGATGAACCACTACCAATATGAACGAGAAAGTTGCGAAGGTAGAAGTGTTAGTTTTGGCTGGGATGTTCACTGATCGATGGTTTATGCTCTTTCTAACATCTTCTCATCGAATAATTATTTTCTTCGGAAGATAACAAAGATCCTCCAAAGTTCTCAATTTATCTCAGCCCAAGAACTACACAAATAGATGTTCCAGTCACCCTATATCTTATATTTATGTCACGAAATTTATTACCATTAAAAAATATTAACTCCAGTAGAGAAAAATCCAGGAGATGCCATGACAACCGAATTTTCCATAGCGCCTAGACAATTCTCTCTCTCTCTCTCTCTCTCTCTCTCTCTCTCTCTCTCTCTGTGTTTACTGTATTTTAAATCTCTCCTGAAGCAAATCCTTTTGAGTCTCCAAGATTAAACTGTCCTGATTTAATAGCTATTTCCAAGTATCACACAAACCAATTCAGTAAGCTTTCAAGTTTAAATCGCAGGATATCTGCTTTATAATAATCAATTTCAATACAAACAAATTTTCAAACTTGCAAACCATGTACCAGTCTCAACCTCTATCTAAAACTACTGAACTTTTCAACCAGCATCTAATATTAAAAATCCTAAACAGTCCAGATGAAGGAAAATGCAATTCAAAGATTATTAAAGCAGAATATAAAAATTGGGAAATTTATTCAATGCTATAACTTTAAAAATGACGAATACCAACTTACACTGTTATCATTGAGGCATATAAATTCATATACAAAGGATGCATATTGAATTTCAAAGCAAAGTTATGTAGTTCACTCTTACCGAGGGTTTCGGCATGGACGGTGTTACCGGAATCAATTGCCTAGATTGTTTTATTGCCCGTTCTTCAAGTCTCTGAGTTCCAACAGACAACTTCAAGAAAACAAAAAAGAAGCTTTAGCACAACAACTTTCAATATTATCACCCATAATAAGGAAAAACTGAACCTACCTGAGGCATAGCCTGAGCACAAGCAGGACCCTGAGCCACAGTTGCAGCCATATTAAGACCAGTGGTCGAGCCAGAAGTCATAGGAGCAGAACTTGTAGGAATAGCTAGTCTGCCAGTTAAAACGGGCACTTCTGCCAAAGCTGACGTCCATTTTTCGCCACCTATCATGGCTGAGGTACCAAAGGGTAAGTTCTGAATAGTAGTACTCAAGCCAGGAGACGGAATCCTTCCAAACTCAGGAGTGGCTGGTCGTTCTTCCACTCCCAAGGATGGAAAATCTCTCTCGAAAGAGGCTTTGTTGACACTGCTAATAGGACTGACCTTAGTAAGCAGACCATTGCTGTTGTTTCCACAGGTATTGCTCAAATCATTCGCAACTTTTTTTGGCCATGACTCCCCACGTTTCCTGGAAATCAACTGTGAGCGCCTAAAACTATACTGCTCAAATTTACTAGACAAAATGTTGCCCCCCAATGGATCTGAAATGTACTGGTGTTTACGGTCCCCCAAAACTGACTTTTCTTTATAATGAGAACCATATGTGTCCTCCCATTCCCTACCGCGGTGATCCCTAGCGAAACTACTATACGACCTCAAGGGACCAGAACCATTACTACTGAAAATCTGATGGAAAGATGTATCCTTACCAGATGGTCGCCCTAAATCATGACCATTGCTCGCCACAAATGACTTATTTCTTGCTAGTTTTGACGCAAAATGATCATCTGAAAAACAAAAACACGTTAAAAATAGTTCCAGTCTACGAACTAAGATATATCCAATATAAGCTGTTCGTTTCAAAAAGATGATAACGTTTACCTGAATGTGATGCAGTGCCACCACCAGCCAGACTTCCACTGTTTTTTAGCCATTCTGGTACTAATGTGGGTTCACTTCTTTCCATAACTAATGCCAAGCATTATAGTATACAAAGAATAATGGGAAAGATAATCTACTTTTCTTCTATTTAATGATCTTGTATCCACAGCACTGTGCCGATTGATAACCGACTCGTCTCCTCTCCCAGACAAAATTGAATGCTTTTTTCAAAAAGTCAGATCCAAAATTTTATCCTAATCTGAAGTTTCCAATGCACTAATCCCTTTATCCGTTAGGTCAAAGCCATTACTGCGCTGTTTTAAAACTCAGTGGCTGAATAGAGATGCATTAACCGAATCCATAGAACCCCCAAATAAATTCCTCCAAAAAAGCCCACGTTTGAATAAAAGAATCTGAATTATTCCATATATACAGGGGGACTGGTGTTTTGTTTCCTTTTCTCACCCTCTTTGTACAATTTATATATACTGCCTAGTCTATTGAACAAAAGTGCTTAATTTATTCAAAAACCAAACTTCTGCAGTTTTCAATTCCCGGAAACAATATCGACAAGGGCCTCTCACGGCCTAACTTACCAAGAAAACACGCACCAAGAACAGTCTTGTGTGTCAGTGTCGAAAAATTCAACAAAAAGCCGTAAATTACCCTACTCCATGCATAAATCTTCCCAAGACAACGCAATCCTTCAACAAACGCTCGTCTCCGTCTCCATATATAAAAATGGAGAAATATCAAACCCTAGACCCAAACCATCCAATAACAACAAAATATTCCAAAATCCCAGAAAAATCCTCACGTCCAAACAGTTAGTAATACGGAAACAATCCCAATATATCTTAACAATTAAAAAACAGACCGACCCCGAATTTCCAGAATAACATTAAATGTTAAAACAATACCCTTCCAGTTTTACGCACACCAAAAAAACTATTTCTCGCCCTCGACCTCGCCGCCTTTGAATGAGTTGTTTGTCGAAATTTATAGAGAATGAGAGAGAATAAGAACGCCAGCTATCCGGTGTTTCATGAATCTTGGTCTCTTTTCTATGCTGTGGCAAAGAATCGATTTCCTGTGCGCTTATACAGATAGCGGAGATTAACGATAGAGATTCGTATGTCTAGAGGAAGTTTTGCGCATGATGTGTTTGGGAAGAAATATTTGGTTTGTAGCCCAATTTTTGTTTACACTGCCAATAGTATTTGCTGTGTGGATACTGGGACTGGTATAACCTCTATTTAATTGTTCCGATGCTCACGCAAATTAGGTCTTCAATTGTTCACGAAATTTTAAAATGTCGAATTTTGATCATTAATGTAAGTTTATATCTTCAATTATTCACTAAAATTTAAAATATCATGTTTTAACTATTGAACTTTAAAAAATATCGTACTTCTCAAACCTTTAATGAAAATTAGTGATATGACTGAAGGAAAGCACATGTAGCATCTCATCTCGCTAGAAAACTCTGAGATTGTCGAATTTTGGTAACTAAATTTTAAAAAATATCTTATATTAATCACTGAACTCTGAGGGATCAAATTTTGATCACTAACTTTGAAAAACGTAGAACTTTGGCCACTAAACTTTAAAAAAAATCTTTTATTGCTTACTATAATTTTGGATTTAGCCACACATCTATACGATAAAATATTTTACACGCAAACATAAAATTTTTCTCAACCTTTTCATCACACATTCTCTAAAAAATCATTACTTTTAGAACTCTTTTTTTAAATAATGGCCATCAAACAGGGGCTAAAATTCGTTGTTAAAAATTTCCGATTTAATTTAATTTTTATGATAAATATATTGTACATTTCATTACAATTAGTAGTCACTTCTTTTGCACACTTTTACAAGCATTGTCTATACCACTATAAATGATTATTTTGAATTTAAATTTAATTTATTTTTTAAGAATTTGAAGCTATTTGCATCGTAGTATTTGAATTTTACAACGAAACACACAATGAATTTGCTTCTTGTTAAAATACAATTAAATCCAAATTTTAACAATGAATTTTAATTAAATTCAAATTTATTGTGAACCATAGAGACGTTTTTCAAAGTTTGTGGAAAAAACTCGATCATACTCACTAAAATTTGAGATGGTCGAGTGTTAAAATAGTGATTTTTAGAGAATGTATAGTTAAAAAAATTGGGAAAATCTTGTCAACATTGATAATTGATAATAAGTAGTGGGTTCCAAGGAATGCGTAAATAAAATTTATGTAAAAGTTATAGATCCTACAAAATGAATAAATACGAATAGAGTTTGGCCAATATATAAACAATTAAAAGTTTTGACAAAGATGCTCTCAAACCCTTGGACACACGTTGTTCAATTACCAATCGTGTCCTTGTCACAAAATAATTCTATTTGATCGTGAGCTACTTAAACACAATTTTTATATATACATTTAATGAATTCACGACTTACTAATCACATTTTATAAGACGCGTTACTTAGATTTAATTGAAGCACTAACAAGTGTCATGTTTCTTTTGTACTAATATTTGCATATGTGGTACTCTTCGCCACATGGCTATAAAATTCTTTAGATGTTTTCTGATTATCCAAATGAGGTAAGTCCTCAAATGGAAAATACGAAATTTTAATATTTTTATTTTATTTGAGAAGATTCTACGTACCACACCTTAGAAGACTATATTTAAAGCTAAGGAAAATGATAAAATGAAAGTTCCTAATGCAAATAGTCTTTCTAATTTCTTCTGCTTGCATATTGTTAGGTCTAAATTTTATTGGCAAGTACCATGTCCATAAATATCATTTAATTGAGTTATAATTTTAGTTGAGTTGTACGGATTGGGAATGTCTTTTGGAAGGACTCAAAGTAAGCTAAAGAAGATCAAATCGTCGGAAAAAACGCTTGAAGTTTGTGAGGAGAAGTGCTCGAACAGTTTTAGCAGGGTAGTTACTGCTCGCTATCCGCACGATGAGCGCTGTTTCGTGCGGGTTAATCGCTAACAATTAAAAGGGATCAGACGATTGTGTAAGGGACAAACCTCTTGAGACAAAGTCCCAAAAAAGGGTGTTTTTTTATAGGCGATAACTTTACAATTGGAAATTAAAAACAAAGTGCCTCCAAGGGGCGCAAGCACACGAGTTACTGAAAAAAGTGTTTAAATCTAAGCTAAGGAAATTAAAATTACATGTTCTCTGTTCGAGAGTTTTTGATTAGGTCGTTTGCTCTATGTCTTTTCTCCCTTTTATACTTCATGGACGATCTCTTTGTGATCAACCACCTAAAAACTACTTGATCGTCCTATAATTGCCCACTTTCCTCGTAATGGCTAACTTGTCATGAAAACTGCATTTTTTAACTGCTGTCATTACTCTTCGTCGTTCAATCGCTTTCGATTGAATTCCTTGAATCGTGGAACGTGATATGGTTGCTTTAATGACTGTTTTGATAACTGCACGTCTTGATAACCACAACGCTTTATATTTGTTAAGACCTTGGGCGGCTGTATGACACTCCATTTGCTCAGATTCTGGGCGACTTGCAAACTTGGGCGATGGCGTTATCGCGTTCTTGGGCCTTCATCTTGATTTGTTTGATTGGGCTTCGTTCTTTGGACAATCTGATTTGGGGATCCTCCAATTGAGCTTCACTCCTTGGGCCGTTCGATTTGGGCTGAATTTTTATGTGTCAACAATTACTCCCCAATATGGTAGAATTAACAATAATTATTAAATTTTGCCATATTCACTTTGTGTTTCCAGCAACATTCGAAATTCTCAAGAATTTCAATCATTGTTTTCTTCTATAACTTGAAAAGGTGCGTCGTTTTGCAAACTCTTATAACCCCCAAACACGCCATTTCACTGCACCACTAAATCACGCTAAATTTTTCGCGTCTCTCCCATGATTTACTGTTCATCTTTTGCTTCCCTGCTACGTAACCCTGAAAAACTTCGTTCCATCTCAAATGACTACTTCACAATCTCAAGCTGGCGACTCCTTTAGTTTTGATGACTTTCAGAAACTTCTGAGTCGTCCATACATAACTCCGAGTTTTCTCGCGCCCGCCGATGTTGAACGCAATGAGTTCTACTTAGGTTCTTTCTTCAACAATGCAGAAGCCGTTGAACAGGCGGCGGTGGGTCAGCTGTTTCCTTGTATCAAGGCTCTCCTTTTCTAAACTCTCTGCCGCTGGGGCCACTTCGCGAAAGAAGTATTCGCACTTGGCCTAAATCTGATGTAGCTTTCCGTAGGTGGCATGTTCGCCTTGTGGGTCATGGTCCTACTAAGACATTTTTTGATAGCGCTAGGATTTCTGATTTGTTAGAAATCTCTATTCACCCCTCTACTTTTGATTCAGTACTCTTTTCGATTGCTTTGAGTTTTTGGTCTTCTGAGTATAATACCTTTATTTTCCCTCTTGGCCCCATGTCTATTACTTTAAGGGAAGTTGGGGCCCTAGTAAATCTACCACCTTTGGGTGATACCATTTTTCCTAGTATCTTTGTTTCTGGTGGTGCCCCAAAGTTTGGTAAAAACTACACCGAATCTTATTCAAGCTTGCAAACCCTTCACAATCATTCGAGCGTTGAGCCTTCCCATATTGAGCGAGTGTCCTTTCTTCTAGTTTGGCTTTGTAAATATGTTTTGTGTGCGCCAAGCATAAAGTCCTCCCTGAGTTATTTACCCATAGCGCACAAATTAGCGCGTGGCAGGCCTTTGAATTTATGTTCTTTCTTTTTGGCTGCCCTTTATAGAGGCATGGCCTCTCTTCAAACTCAATTGAAGAATGGTGCATCTCCCACTGGCAGTAGACCTCTTTGGTTCACTTAACTGTGGTTGAGATCCTATTTTCCATTATTTGGTGCCCCATCAATTTCTCGCTTCTCTGCTAGCTGTTATGGGCTAGCCATAGAGCCCTTGGCTCCTGTAAATATGTCCAGAAGAGACATTTTTTCATTCTTTTATTCTTTGGATTCAATCTCTTCCTTTTTTCCTTTTCCTCCTTTTTTGACTACAAACTATGTACATCCCCCCTCTACTATAGACAGCGCGAACACCTCCCTGCTCATTTGGATCCAGTTTTTAACCGGGAGGGAGCTATTTCATGATATCTTAACTGGGACCAATGCCAAGGCAGAGGTAGAAATTTATGCTCCTCAATTTTTTGCTCGCCAGCTTGGTTTCGGCCAAATTTGGCCTGTTCCTCCTTGCTATTCAAGGAACTTAATTAACCATTTTTATACCATTAATAAGGCGGAGGCAGAGGCTATAAATGCTCGCAATCTTCTTTTAACCAGCCATTTTTCATTAGCCCCCTTCAATTCTAGCCACACCATTCACCCTCTTTTTGAACAGCTCTGGCCGTCAGTGAAGCGCAGATTATTTGCGACTGACGCCAATCGTGCCTTTCATTCACTAGACCAGCCGAGCATTTCTTCCCCTCCTCCTGTTTTAGTCACTCCTTTGTCCGTTCGGAGTCCTTCTCCTTCTCGTCACACTAAACAGACTGCTCGTTCATCTTCTTCTCTCCCTGCCAAGCCTACTATAGTCAAGAGTGCCCCAAGCCGCAAACGGCCAGCCTCAGCATCTCCCATTCTGGAGGATGATGTTGATGATGATGATGATGATGCCTCTCTTATCGTCAGGAGGAAGGTAATTAAATTGGTTTACTCACAAGCATACTTTTTCATACTTGAAACTTTTCTGTGTGCTGATGATCTTTTGGACTTCTCAGAAAAGCTTAGCCTCTCCTTCAAAGGCTTTGACATCGACAGCTCCTGCTCCATCATCCTCCGCTGAGGCTGCTTCATCCAAACCGGTTGATGAGGGGGCTACGCTTAAAAAGATATCTTCAGTCCCAGAGTCCTCATCACAACCCATGGATGGACCACCTTCTTCCCAGGGCGTCAACCCCCCAAACATCGAAGCAGAAGGTAATTTAGTCTTTTGATGTCTTACCTTTGCTTGTGCTGTTGGTTTCTGATTTGTTGCTCTTGAGTTTTGCAGATACTCCTATGAGTCCGCCCGTTGTGGCAACATCTTCTCGCTCAGACAAGGGGAAGTCCTCACAAATCGAGGAGTCGTTGGTGGCAGACTTGGCTGAGGACATGCCATCTTCCACGATTGTTGATGAGGTAATCTTTGCTTCACTTTTATTTCTATCTTGTTCGTTGTAGTGAGAATCTTTAATATTGGC